TTATTTTAAGATGGCTAATTTTTGCAGTGTAAACCTTCAACTTGCGTTTTGGATCCAATCCCAACCAAATTATTTAAAGAAGCATTTCCTTTGGTTACTGCCCCCATTCTACATATAATAAATCTATCCTTAGTAAATGGATATGTACCACAAGATTTTAAGGTTGCTGTAATCAAACCTTCACTTAAGAAGCCTTCTCTGGATCCAGATGACCCAATGAATTATAGACCAATATCTAACCTTCCATTTTTATCCATAGTCCTGGACAAAATAGTGGCCATCCAAGTATGTGAGCATTTAAACACTAATGCTCTTTTTGAGGAATTTCAGTCTGGTTTTAGAGAGTATCACAGCACTGAAACTGCGTTAGTGAGAGTTACAAATGATATTCTCATGGCCTCGGATAAGAATCTTGTGTCTGTTCTAGTCTTGTTAGATCTCAGTGCTACCTTTGACACAGTTGATCACAATGTTCTTTTAGAAAGACTTGAACATGTTGTAGGGATCAAAGGAACAGCGCTAGGCTGGTTTAAATCCTACCTGTCTGACAGATTTCATTTTGTAAATGTACATGACAAATCGTCTTCATACTCCAGGGTTACTTGTGGAGTACCACAGGGTTCAGTGCTTGGACAAATTCTTTTTACTATATATATGCTCCCAATTGGTAAAATCATTAGACAGCATGGGATAAACGTCCACTGTTATGCTGACGATACTCAGTTATATTTATCCATTAACCCTGATGAACCTAATCGGTTGGGTAGATTACAGGCTTGTCTTGAGGACATAAAAAATTGGATGACTCTAAACTTTTTGCTTTTAAATCAAGACAAGACGGAAGTTCTCATCTTTGGACCATAAATCCAGAAAAGGAAATTGCTTAGCCAATCACCTGACCTGAATGGCATTACATTAATCTCCGAGAACAAAGTAAGGAACCTTGGTGTTATCTTTGACCATGACATTCAAATCCCAGGTTAAACAGGTTTGTAGGATTTCCTTTTTCCATGCACCTTCGGAATATTGCTAAGATTAGAAGCATCCTTTCCAGGAGTGATGCTGAAAAACTAGTTCATGCATTTATTACATCAAGACTGGATTACTGTAATTCATTACTCTCAGGAAGTCCACAGAATGTAGTTAAAAGTCTTCAGCTTGTCCAAAATGCTGCAGCTAGAGTTCTGATGAGAATTAAAAAGAGAGATTATATCTCTCCTGTCTTAGCTTCCCTACATTGGCTACCTGTTAAATTCAGAATAGATTTTAAGATCATCCTTCTCACATAAAAAGCTCTTAATAATAAAGCTCCATCATACATCAGTGATCTGATTGTTCCATACGTTCCTAACCGAGCATTTCGCTCTCAGACTGCAGGTCTACTGGTGGTTCCCAGAATATCTAAAATTAGGATGGGAGGCAGATCTTTTAGTTATCAGGCTCCTCTCCTGTGGAGCCAGCTCCCAGCCTTAGTCCATGAGGCAGACACTTTGTCTACTTTTAAGAATAGGCTTAAAACATTTTTATTTGATAGGGCCTATGGTTAAAATCTGATGTTAGCCTAAATCTGGACAAGTGGGGGAGTAGAGGGAGGTGGAGTGTACAGTCGGTAAAGACAGCTCTCCCTTGTCCTGACTCCAACATGCCTCCATCTAAATAGGATAGATTATTGTAAGGTTATGAAGTTCATTATTTTCAACTCCATACAGCTGCCCCCTGTGCACAATAACACCATGTAGAAAAACCAAGGTCGGGTGTTCCTCAGACTGTTTACATTCCAGGAGAAGAGCCCGAAGGAGGAGAAGAAACTTTACTTAATCAAAGTACTTTATTTGTGATTAAAATTATTAAGCAAAACAGTTGTTGATCAACAATAATCAAGTGAATTATCTGTGAAATAAATATGTCATGAATTATGTTTAATGAAACAGGACTACGGCACAGACATACTGATCCTCATCTCCATAGAAACGCATGACACATTGTTCCAACCAATCAGAGCTTTCGGGTGCCGCAGGAGAATCTGGTGTTGACTTCAAGTGTCCAATCCACTTTACTACAACTTATCAACAATTCAGAGATATAAAACAAGGCAACGCCATTTTTAAGTCAGTTCCATTTTGACTTCAGTTCTAGCCACCGTCATCCTAAAGAAAAGCACAGCCTGGCCAGATGTGTTTTCTTCTTTAAACTAAGAACTGTGAAGCGGGAGATTTTCGTCGTTTTAACAACCAGACGACGTCCTTTCAAAATAAGAGCACCTGCTGACGCCGCCGAACGGTACCGGGGTCGACCCTCCAGACGGGCTTTGAAACGTTGTGATCGCTGCACCGACAGCTCCAGCGTACATCCGAGGTCTCCAGACCTGGCATTTCCTGATCTACCTGAGAGACCCCCACTGGGTACGTACACGGCAAAATAGCGGCTCATGTCATCACTTTATAAGCCTCGTGATATCTAGTCATAACAAAGACGACCAGATTCATTGACGTCAGCCTAGAGAGTCTGAACCAGACACACCCACACACACACACATGCACCAACACAACATCCGAATCCATTTTCATCCATCACAGAGTTAGTCCTGGTAGATTGTTTAGAATTTATAATTCAGAAATTAAAGATTCTCAAACGATCCCATCTCTCTCTCTTTTCTTGTCTCAAAGTCAATACAGAGTGTTTAATTAAACTCCCTGATGATAAAAACAGCCTATTCTTCTGTTTATAAAAAGTGAACTACTTACAGTGTATTAAAATACAACTTTAGATAGTTACATCACTTCAATTCCGTTACATTATCATGAGTTATCTCTGTAGTTATGCTGCTATAGGCTTAAGCCTGATTTATGCTTCTCCGTCTGCGTCAGTGCGGAGACACGCAACGCCATTATCTGTCCTTGCGTAGGGCTTCGGCAGGCACGCAAGTATGTACGGAGTCGAGCCCACTTTTTTAAACATCCGTCGAACGAGACGGATTACGCAAGCTTGTGATTGGTCAGGACGCAGCTGTTGTTTACAGCGCCGCCATTGCAAAGAGAGCCGAGTTTAACTAGCGGCAGACATGGAGAAGCTTGAAGAATACCTCGCGAAAAAACTAAAAATATGAACGTTTAAATCCCGTGACTGGAGGAGTGAAAAGATGCGCAGCAAGCTTTTTATTTGTGGACGGAAATGACAGGAAACGTGGGTTTAGAGGTGGGGAGCGCATGAAGAGGTGGGAGAATGAGAGACAAATATGTCCGTGTTAAAAGTCTCATATACCCCAAAACACAATATAAACACACGATCTTGGACCGATACATGACAGGATACCACAGAACAGCGCTGCACCCTCTGTTGTCCTGCCCGGCAATTGCTTTGCAACACTCTCCAGGAGACGGAGAAGCACGAGAGCAAAACGCTTCCGTCAATCCGTGCGTATCCGTCCCTTGCGGAGCTGACGGAGAAGCATAAACCAGGCTTTAGACTGCTGGAAGATACACTGACCACTTTTCACATTCTACTGCTTTCTTCCACAAACTGCTCTTTAACTGTATTATTTTCTGCAATTTCAGCTGTTAACTTTATTTTCTCTCTGTTTTTCTCCCCAGAAGAAGCTACAACAATGTTCTGCTGAGCTGTGGTGGCCTCATGGAGGGGGCTATTGTCTAGCACACTGCTGCTAACCACTTAAACTTTCTCCCTCTCCTGATAATAACTTTTTGCTTTCCTTGACAGTGTATGTGCTACTACTAGTTTATCTGTTTAATTATAGATCCACTAGGATAAATATAATAAAGTTTCTCTCTCACCAAATAGAATATTTACTAAGAAATCACAATATAACTATAGACACATTACTGTGTGTGTGTGTGTGTGTGTGTGTGTGTGTGTGTGTGTGTGTGTGCGTGTGTGTGTGTGTGTGTGTGTGTGTGTGTGTGTGTGTGTGTGTGTGTGTTCGATCCCCAGTGAGTCGTGGAGGATGGCTGCTTATACTGAGCCACGATTCTCTGGAGGTTTCTTCCTGTTAAAAGGGAGTTTTCCTCTCCACTGTCGCTTTATGCTTGCTTAGTATGAGGATTGCTGTAAAGTCATTGACACTAGTCAGTGACTTGATGCAATTTGCTGGGTTCCTTATATAGGAAACATTTTTTCTGATTGGCTCAATGAACTGACCTGAATTGGAATGTTTATTATGTGAAATGCCTTGAGACGACTCTTGTCGTGATTTGGCGCTATATAAATAAACTTGAATTGAATAGAAGAAAACTCCCCAGTCACCACTAACTATCCTGTTTATTTATTGCAGATGGCTGCACTGGTTATTTTTACATGATTTGTTCTGTAAAAGTTGGCATTTTTGGTAGTCTACAGTTTTTTTTTGTCAGTTTAAATTACAATTACAGAGGTAATTCTAAAATATTATGGATCATGATAAAGATCTATTGGAGAGGGGGGGGGGGGGGGGGGGTTCAAAGGGGGCCTCGCCCGGGGAGTAATTCCATGTAGAACCGCCACTGGTTGTACCTCACGTGTGTTGGTCTCTTATTATTATCATCAAGCATAAAACCTTCATGTGTAGAGATGAACACCGGCGATCTGATTTATGTGCAAGTGTCTTAAGAATTCATAGCTGGTCTGATCCTTAGCGTAACTACGTACTGTACGAGCAGGAGGACACTGACATGAGCAAAAAGCAGGGACTACGCACACGCTCGAAACAACAACACCAACAATAACAGCAAGAGCACCAACAACAACGTGAGAAGAGACGACACGCGGGTCAGGAAGTCCAGCGAACCACTGGCATCCACTCGTACAGAGGAGAAACGGAGGCTACGACGCATCTGGAAAAATGAATCCTTTTGATATTTTAGAGGAGAGACGGACGCAAAGAGAGCGGTCTGTGTTTCAGTGTGCTTTTAAAAATCCTCATCAGAGCGTAACGTGTTTGTTCATCTCTCCGTCTACTTGCCTTTGAGACAATTAGTGTGCTTAGTTTCTTCGTAAGACTGCACCCGAAAGTTTGTCTAAGCCAGCCTTTTTTGTGTAGAGATGAATTATTGTGCTTCTCGGTCAACGCAGCAGTCTGAGGCTGGGTGGAGGTAACGCGCTGGGCTGCAGAGGTCAGAGGTTGTGTGGGAGCAGCTTCCTCGCATCAGGAGAAGGAGCCAGAGCTACTGCACCAGATAAAGAGGACTCCCTCTTCAAGGCTACTCAGGAAGCACTTAACATGGGAGGGCCAGACGCTCAAACACGAGCTCCCCAAAGCGCCAGCATTTAGTCTTGGGAGCGCCGTCTTCTCACACACCTACATGTCATGAGGGATGGGTCAGGGGGAGGGGGGCTGGAGATCAGCCGAGCATTGCATCCAGTTGGTCTGCCAAGTCGTCAAACATGCTGCCGATGTCATCCAGGATAGAGACGGTTCCTTTTTGGCTGGAAAATTTTGAAAAAGAAAAATGGAATAATTAGCTTTTATTGAGGCTTCGATAAACATGCTGACAGAATCAATGAGTCAAGTGTGGAGGTGAGTTCCTCCACTGATGGAAAGCAGCTTTAAGATTCAGTTTATGGGTGACATTCACTATTTTCACACACACACACACACACACACACCTGACAAACTCAGAAACATACAATACAGTCGACTAATTGTAAAGATCAACAAAAAGTAATGATAAATCCCAAAATAATAATATAAATCATGATTTTTGTTTATTGTTTATACTTAAAAAAACTCATGTTTTACAATTGTTTTCATTTTATAGGAGAATGACGTTTTACAAAGACCAGTAAAGTACATGAGAAATCATGTTTTTATTAGGTGTCATGGCTGCCATGGAGCTTCATAAAGAAAGTAAAAATTGATTAGACTATCTGGACAATGACTGTTTTCTTCATTTGAGTTTTTTAGTTTTAGGTAATGTAAAGGGGGAAATCTGGAAGTAAAGATGATTTTCTAGATTTTTGCCCCTCATCCAGACCTAATTTCTGAAATTTCATATTAGACTTGTTTATTTCAGAAAACAAAAAGATAATGTGATGTGTTTTATTTACCCGGACATCCTATGTAGAGGATTCTATTTGATTCTACTCTCTAGCATGACTTCATACTCACTCATTTGGCTTGTCCTCCTCCTTTATTTTGTGCTCTACAGCCTGCAGAGCTGCAGCCAAGGAGGCGCTGGTCTCCTCCAAACGATTCTGAATCTCTCCCTCTTTCTCCCCTTCCTCCACGTGACCCACCATCTCCTCCTTCGCTCCATCCCTCCTTAAAGGCTTCCTCGGGTTCTGCCTCCTTCTCTCTCCTCCCCTCCTCCTCTTCCTCCTCCACCTCCCTTCCTCCCAGGAGGTCAATAGTGAGGCCAGCGATGGAGGAGCGAGGAGGTTTGACGGGGTGAGGCGACGAAATGGAGGGACTCTGAGCTGGAGACGGGGAAGTAGGAGGGAGTCCCGGAGACAGACAGGGGCCGGAGGGGGTGTCAAGAGCTGGAAGAGGGGCTACAGAGGAAGGCTTAGGGGCCGAGGTGGGACTGGCTGCAGCCGGGCTCATGGTAACTGGAGACGCTACAGCTTTGCCGGGTTTGGGAGCTGTCGGAGGCCCGCGAGGCTTCGGTGATACTGGAGGAGGAACGCGCTTTGGCTCTAGACAGAGAAAATGGCAGAAAATATTTTGAATTGAATTAAAACAAAACCAACTGGGTTATAGGTAGGGCCAGATTAACACTTTGTTGTACCCTGGGCAACAATATTAAAGGGCCCCATCATCACGACCCAAGGATCACCATAATATGGTCACATACAGAATATTTTACTGTAATATGCAGTAAATATACTCAATACTTGAATGCCTGACATCACGTAACCCGCTCAGGGTATGTTTATGTTTATGCTTATTTACTTAGCAGATGCTTTTATCCAAAGCGACTTACAATTTATAACCTATAGGGCATGTTGTGATCTGTGGGAGAAACCGGAGTACCCGGAGGAAACCCACGCATGCATGGGGAGAACACGCAACTCCACGCAGAAAGGCCACAGCCGAGTTTCGAACCTGCGACCTCCGTGCTGCAAGGCAACAGTGCTAACAACTGCGCCACCATGCAGCCCAACCTTTGACCCACCTCGTGTGGATTGACCAATGAGGAGAGGTTCTTAACTTGAGGCCCTCTCTTCATTGGTCAGTCTGCATGAGATTGACTCTCAACCGCTCTCAACTGACGTTCAAAGTCGTAGGCAGCGAAGCGTCTCTGTGCAGTGCAAAAGCTCGGGTGGACAGTTTGTTTATTATAGGGTGACCATATTTCCATTTCCAAAGAAGAGGACAGGGGATCTGTGCCTATGACGTCACACTATGGCAACGCCACACAAACCATGTTGGGACCCATTTTTTGTAAGAACTAAATTAATATCAGATTCTGCCAATAAAAGGGCTCTAAAACAATTCATGTGTAAATATTTAGCATATTTATTACAAAATGTCATTTTCTGCTTTAGTGCTGCAAAAAGGTTTTATTAATAAGAAATTATTATACCTTTTGTTTTACTACAGCATCGGTAAGCTTCCTGTGCACAGATTATTAAGGATGCTTGTTTCAGCTGTGAGATTAGACGATAGGATCAATGAAAAAATAAGTTGTCACACACTCCATGGAAACTTTCAGAGAATCCACAAATAGTGGCTTTCAAATGGTTTTGTTACTTTTTGCAAGTTTAGAAAAGCAGCAGATGAGACATCATGTCTGATAATTTAGTTCTATTTCGTCTAGTCTTAGCCCTTAAGCGAGCTGCTATTGGAAGGGTGATCTCAGCATCAGCCAATCATGAAGAGCTTAAATGTACGCCCACCACGTGGGCATCCCTTGTGGGTTTTATAAGTGGAACGACCCCACTGTTCGCCTCCGTTTTCTCTTCACGCCAAGCTTAAGAGCTTCCTTTAAGAGCAATTATACAAGAAAAATCTACTCACCGACCATGTCCAGCGACGCCAGGATCTGCCCGGCCTGCCAGACGGGCTCCATCTCCAGCTGCGACCTGCACGCCAAGTGTAAGGTCTGTCTCGGGGCTCACCACGCTGGCCTGGCCTTGACCCCCAGGCCTCGTGCCCGTTTTGTACCGCTCTGCCCGTGGCTGAAAAGGTCCGCCGGGTCGAGTACTTCACCCCCACCACCGACGAGGAAATTCCGGTGGCTGGCATGTACTCGCTGGACAAAGCGTTACAGTTCTTCAACGTCAGCCAGGAGCCGGCTGGCTCCTACCGACTGGACGATGTCATCGACAGCAAGGAGTACGACGAAGCTGGCTGCCATAGCCCTTTTTCCCTCCGGTACAACATGGAGGTCGACCGCAAGGCTGGCTGCCATAGCTCTTCTTCCCTCCTGTACAACACGGAGGTCGACCGCGAGGCTGGCTGCCATAGCCCTTCTTCCCTCCTGTACAACACGGAGGTCGACCACGAGGTTGGCTGCCATAGCCCTTCTTCCTTCCTGTACAACACGGAGGTCGACGAGCCTCGTGAGGAGTACGACGAGGCTGGCTGCCGCAGCCATTATTCCCTCCTGTACAACAAGGAGGTCGACGAGCCTCGTGAGGAGCACGACGAGCTTGGCTGCCGTAGCCCCTTTTCCCTCCTGTACAACACGGAGGTCGACAAGCCTCGCTCAGCGGGTCCTTCTGCCCCAGTGTCTTCTCGCTCCTCCCTGCCAGCAGTTAGAGCACTGCTCCAGGAGCTGCCCACCATCATCTCCGCGGCTGCGGCCCGCAAGGGGCTAGCCGTTCCAGAACCGGCTCCGCCTGAGGCAGATGAATTGACGGGAATTTTTGGGGCGACGCAGACGCACTGTCCAGACCCCGTCTGGCCACGCTTCCCCGCTGCCATGAGCTGCTGGTCCGCCGCCTTCTCCGAGCCTGCCGGGTTCAAGGCGCCAATTTCCACATATGTGCCCATTACCAAGGTCGAGGGCTTCTCCGACCTGGGCTGGCCATCCGTTCCCTCACTGGAGCCGGACTTGGCTTCGCTGTGTGGCGTCGAGGCCAAGAACCACCTTGTTGGACCGCGAGCAGTTCCCTCTTCTAAGCATGACCAGCTGCTGAGGCAGCTCGCCGATCGCGCACACCAGTGCGCCTTCCAGACCGGCGCTACAGGAAATAACATCGCCTTCTCGCCTTTGGCGTTCAGACGGCGGCTGAACTTTCAGCCACGGTGCGAGACCTGGTCCACTCTCGGTCAGCCTCGCACTCCGGCCGTTCCCCCAGAGGATGGGACGAACGGCGAGGAAACTCCAGGCGCCCAGCTGCATGGCCAGCCCCGCAGAGCCGGCCTCCCACTGAGGCGGGACCAGGGAGTTGGCGGCCAATGGTTCCGAATGAGTCAGCAGACACAGCCTTGGCAGTCTCAGTCACAGGAATCTCGCCGAAAACAACCACGAAAACGACTCGTTGGGGGAATGTGTGTGCTTATGACTAATGTTAACTCTGTGAATGATTTTGGTTTTGAAATAAAACCCAAAAAACGTCACATCGAGAGCACAGTCCTACAGTCCTCTGCAGAACCCTCTGCCGAATCCTCACACATGATGTTCCCCGCACCAAGCACTGCAGCACATCTGCATGTTCACACAGTCTGACTCGGTCATGTTACACGGCTTGCTGTAAGGGTGCGCTCCATTTGCGCAACGGCCCCAGTCTACGGCCAGGCCCGACTCATCCCGCTTCCCCCACAGCGTTGGGTGGGACGGGATGTCATGGTGCTGTCGCGACCACGCGCAAAGCGCGCACGTTGCGCGGCTCCATCCGCTGGCACTTTGTCGTTCCCATGCACGGGCCCGGCTCCCACTCGTCCTTCATCCTTGGACTCCACGCTCTGCGGTGCGGATCAGCCTCTTCCAGCTGTTTCACACTCGCCCTTTCGAGCACAGCCCTCCATGGGTCGCTCCCAGTTCTCTGGTACAAGCGACGGCGGTAAGGGCGCGAACCCAATCCTCACGTGACCTCGAGCACACGTCCGCTGTCGAAACGCGCGCACGAATGCCTCCCTTTCGGCTACTCGCTAGCGCAGCGCACTTTCTCCAAATGTCTGGAGACCGCGCTGCAGCCACTGCGCACGGCGGGAACGAGGGTTTTATTTTACCGGGACGATCTGCTCCGATGCGCCTGGTCCGAGGACGAGGCGTCAGAGCAAACCAGGAAATTAACAGAGCATCTGTCAACCCTGAGGTTTTCTAGAAACTGGGGGAAGAACTCCATCCTTCCATCCCAGTCGATTGTGTTTCTCGGGGTGGAGCTGAACGCCTCCCTAATGAGAGCACGTTTGTCGCCCGTGAGAGCGGCAGATCTCACCACGGTGATCTCCCGCGTGCAACCCCGCAAGATCGTGAGAGCCCTGTTAGTCATGAGACTTCTGGACATGATGGCTGCAGCCCACTCGGCGGTGCTACTAGGGTTGTTGCGCTCGAGGCGCCTGCAACGCTCATCCGCCTCCGGGTACACCCGATACGTCAGAAGAGACGTATGTTGAGGGTTCCCCCCTCAGTGGGCGGGGGCCTCGCTCACTGGGGGAACCCCTGCATCCTCTCACACGGGGTCCCCATCGGAAGTCCTACGTCACACGTATCTGTGTTTACGGATGCATCACTGTCTGGGGTGGGGGGCACGTGCTTGTCCCATACGGCAGCAGATCGCTGGCCCTCCCACACGCACGAGCACATAAATGTGTTGGAGCTTATGACAGTGAGGAATGCGCTCAGACACTTTGCTGCCCTTCTCGATGGCCGTCATGCCGAAGTTCACACAGACAGCCAGGTGGCGACAGCCTACATAAATCGCCAAAGGGGAGTTCGATCCCTCCCACTATTGCGCGTAGCCACAGGTTTACTGTGTTGGGCACATGTCCACCTGCTGTGCCACCTACATTCTGGGGATCCTGAATGTAGCGGCAGACATCCTGTCGAGAGGGGTCCCCGCGACTCCGACTGGCGTCTGCATTCTGCACATCTGGATAAAGTTCGGGGAACTGTCTGTGGAGCTGTTCACGGCTCGCGAAAACGCTCAGTGTCGCCTGTGGTTTTCCCTGAGTCCCCGGGACCAACCCCGTTTGGGGCGGACGCCTTCTCACACCAGCCCTGGCCTCGAACGCTCCTGTATGCGTTTCCACCAGTCCCTCTGATTCCCCGTCTCCTGGACCGAGTTTGGTCAGAACAGCTCTCGGTAATTCTGGTGGCTCCCAGACGCCTGTCCGCGTCATGGTTTCCGGACCTGCAAGCGCTACTGTCCGGCTCCCCGTGGAGACTCCCACGAAGGGAGGACGCCCCTCCCCAGGCGGATGGGAAAATCAAACATCCTCCAGAAATAGGCCAACGGCTGTAAGTCTGGCCACTGAGCGGTCACGCTTAGGGGTTTGTTTCTGGGCTGCCGCATGATGTGGTCACCACGATTCAGAGTGCGCGGGTGCACCATCACATCTTATGCTGCTAAATGGGCAGCTTTCCAGAAATGGTGCACAGAGCGGAATTTTCAAGCGCTCTCCTGCCAGCTGGCGGATGTCCTATCGTTTCTACAGATACTGATGGACAGGGGCCTCGCATTCAGCACTATTAAAACATGCTGCAGCTATCTCATCCTGTCACCAGGATTTTGGTGATGGGTCTGTTTTCAGTCATCCCCTCACAAAACGTTTTCTAAAAGGTGTCAGAAGGAACAGGCCTGTGTCCCGCCCGCTAGTTCCCCAGTGGGATCTAACGGTGGTTCTGCGTGGCTTATTTGAAGCCCCATTTGAACCCTTGGACCAGGTCTCACTCAAGTTCCTGTCACAACTGCCTTGCTGCTGGCACTGGCATCAGTCAAGAGAGCGAGCGACCTAACTCGCCCTCTCAGTGGCTCCCGCATGCCTCAGGATCCGGGAAGATGGAGGGTCTGCTGTTTTATGCCCCAGCCTTTGTGCCCAAAAACATTAATACTTCCTTCAAATCCAGGTCAATTTTCATTGGCTGAACTTTTTCCTCCTCCCCATAATTCTGATGAGGAGGCGACTTCCCATCTTCTCTGCCCGGTGCGCGCGCTCGCACGATATGTGTCACGCACTTCAGGGATTCGCCGCTCACAAAGCATGTTTGTGCACTACAGGGAGTCTTCCCTTGGGCACGCGCTGTTGGCCCAGCGCCTTTGACTCTGGCTATGTGACGCCATTTCACGCTTACACATCAGCAGGGCAGGATCCCCCTGAGACACTCAGGGCTCACTCAGCCAGAGGGATTTCCTCTTCTATGGCGCCCCACAGTGGTGTGTCAATGGAAGTCATTTGTCAGGCTGCTTCATGGGCTTCACCCTGTTCCTTTACTCATTATTATTTACGAGATGTGTCTTCAGGATCCATCACTCGTTCAGTGCTTGGACCTCAGCAGGCTGAGTGAATGCATTATGGCACCACATCAGCCTTACTTGAATGAATTTCATCCTCTTGTGGATGATATTTTTTAGTGGGGGCCTCACTCTTATCTCTGGCTGCGTCAGCCTTTTAAGCCCTGGGCTGAGGCTGAGCGACCCTCACTAAAAGGAGACTTGTTGGGTGTGTCCATTGGTTGAGCTAACCAGTGTGGCGTAAACCCATCCAGCTGCGCATTATTCCAATAGCAGCTCGCTTAAGGGCTAAGACTAGACGAAATAGAACATTGGTTACGTATTGTAACCCCAGATTCTATGAGTCTAGTTGCAGCCCTTAAGCCACTGGCCCCACTGGTTCTGTTAGGACTAAGAGCCATCGGAGGCAAACAGTGGGGTCGTTCCACTTATATAACCCACAAGGGGTGCCCACGTGGTGGGCGTACATTTAAGCTCTTCATGATTGGCTGATGCTGAGATCACCCTTCCAATAGCAGCTCGCTTAAGGGCTGCGACTAGACTCATAGAATCTGGGGTTACAATACGTAACCAACGTTTTTCATCTGATGATATTAGAACATGTCAGTGATGTCTGAGGAGCTTTTACAAACACTGTATAACTAATACTCCTGGAGAGGGTATGAATTACAGAGGCTTCTGGGGAGCCCAGTTATTGGGGTGGGGGGGTGGGGGGTGGGGGTTGGGGTCATTTTGCCTTGGCCCCCAAAATGTCTTGAAACAGCCCTGGGTGTGTGACTGAGTTTTGAAGGTGATCTCAGCTGTATCAGATGTATAAATATGACATGTGTATAACTTATTGCTTTATACAGGTAAAAACGTGTAGTGGAGATAAATCTACCTACATTTTACTTTTTGTTTTGTTTTCTTGTTTTTAATGAACTATTTTCCTGTCCTGTCTGTCTCTCATCTTCCTGCATCTCCTCTAAACTCTCCAGAAAAACTGCTGCCTGGATTCTTACTTTTACTGTAAACCCGAATAAGTTGACTGAACTTAAAATTTTTGAGGTAATCAGTTTCCACAAAAGTTTTAAGTAGACAAACCATATGTTTTAAGTATGGTTGTACTCAAAATTTGTATTTATTGTTAACTTAAAATTTTCAGATAATATTCTATATTTAAATAATTAAGATAAACTTAAAACTTATATATTTTAATTTTAACATTTTTGTGTTACTTGTAGTTAAATTATTTGATGCAACAGAATGTAATTATATTACAACCTAAACTCAAGTAATATGATTATAAACTAATTAAATTACCTTTCTTTTTTAATTGTGTGTGGACCACTCAAAAAAAGTATATGGCGATTCACTTAACATTTTGTTTATTAACATTTTTATGGACTTGTGAAAAACATCACATAAATGTTTTTTTTATAAAACCATCAACATGGAACCACTGACATGGACTGGAGCACAAGTGAGCGTACAAAATGCTGCTAATAACATTTAATAACATTTTTATAAAATCATAAAAGAACATCAGTCCTAAAAGTCATCTTTCTTCTAATATATAAAAATGAAAAACAAAAGGTCAAACACAAAAGAGATTTTTTTAAATAAACAAAAATTAAATAAAATAAATATTTTTTAACAGGTTCAAATAATGTTTATCGGCACCCAAATAACCTTGTATAAAAAAAATGAGGTAAACTGATGGGAATTACATCCACCCAAAGCCTGTAGAAAACTTAAAAGTGCTTTAAATAAAATACTTCAAAGAAGGTGCTCAGTAACAGTGTGCCTGTCCTAACAACCAGTTGCCTTGCATATCTTTCATAACTACTCACTCTGTAACAAATCATTTCTAAGAGCATGAAGGCTGGGTTTCAGTGGTTTGCCATCATCAAGCCCCATGAAGACTTTCTGGACAAAGGTGAATGTGTGAACTAGTTTCCTGGGGTAGTCCAAATGCAGAGCATAGATCAAGCCAAACAATAAGGCATATGCATCAGCAAATCTGGCAATATCACGGATCACCAAGTCGCCTTCCACCACAACAGCCATGCTTGAAGGACTGAAATGGAATGGACTGGTCTCAGCAGAGCCGTCAGCAACCACTGTGAGAAGGGCAACTGGAGTGTCAGTCAGGTTCGTCTCATCCAGCGTGCCCGCCTGGAATAAACACAGTGTCAATAAGTAAGGTTGACTTGAAGGGCCGTGACAAGCATTATTTGTAATCTAGCAAAATATTCTGCAGTCTTGTGGGTAACACGTTAGTGACACATCAAGAGTCCTCTATTTACTATTCTTTTAGAAAATGTGTAAATTAATTAATTAGATTTGTGTGTTTATAGCAACTAGGGTTGGGTATCGAGCGGGAGACGAAGGCGGGCAAAACAGGAAAGGAATCTAGTAGCGGACGGACATTGTTCCGGGTCTTCGGTAATTGGCGGAGATGTTAGTGAAGGCGGAGAAGAGGGCGAACTAGAGGAAAAACAGGCAGATTCCTCCTCTATTTACAAACTCCTGGGGATGCAACAAGTGGGCATGGTGCGTCGACTACTGGATCTGACGTCAACGAATTTTTACAATCAAGCCGTCGACGTCATCAACGCTTTGCTACAAATCTACCAACAGGTATGGTTTTGTTGGTGCGTTAACGCAAAACTGCAGTAAAACATAAGTCGGAGAAACAGGATGCCAACTCATCACATGAAAAAGAGAACATCAAAAAGAATGTGAGAAAGAAACAAAACGAAGACACAGGAGAGCAACAAAACAGGAAGCAGAAAGTTTGTGCCCCTGCCCCGCGAAATAGGAAAATGAGCGCCGACCAGAATTAACGAGTAGCGTTTAGACTACCGCGTTCTTGCTTCAAATTTAAGGAAGTACCTGGCTGATGCAGAGTTGATGAACTTTTCATGGACAAGTGTTTAAAATATAAATATATGAAAACACATCATGACATGAGAATAATACCTGTAAAACAACGTGTTTTAGCTCTGCTTGTCAGCTACAGAAGAACATTTATAAACATAAGACGTACAGTCGCCATCTTAAAAAAACGGGGCGACGGAATTCTGGTGTAATATGCATGTTCACTACAGTGGACGGTACCGCGGTATGCGTGCGTCTTCCATGGTGAAATATCCATCAGAAGAACGCATCACATTTGTCCCTGTCCTCGTCATGAATTAAATAAACGTTAATTTTACCAGGTAAAAACACATTAGCTGTAAACCTGAGGGTTGCTAGTCCGTTTGATTGATAGCTGTAGTTCATCTCCGTCCTCAGTCTCAATCAACGTTATTTGAAAAAAAAAAATAAAGAAATGAGTTGACTTTACATCCTTCTGTTAGTGCAGCTGGCCACGTAGCAAGTTGTTACCATTTTACTGTGAAACCAAGTAAATAAAAGCGATAAAGGGCTACAACGGGCTTGTTTTGACTAGCTTCACCGGAATTTTGACGTGTGTAAACGGTCTTTTTGCCGACCATCATGGAGAACGGGGCAGTCTCGTGCAAAGGGTCAATGGCGAAATCAGGGTTTCTGTGTGTGCACAATCTATTTGGGTTTGCCTCCTCCCACCCCCACTTGTGACACACACACCCTAATTTGAGCCCAGGTTTGATCCCCCCCAACACACAAGTCTAATGCAATGTTTGTTAAAGCAATTGTGAAGCTGCTTTGTAATAAAACCATATAAAATAATCCATGGTATGTTATCTCACTGGTAGAATTTAAGTAATGCAAGAGACACTTACATCACATGTCTTAAAGAATTCTGGGTCTTCCTCCCGCAGGTATACTGGAAGGGCACGTAGCACTGCAGTCCGTTTCACATCGACATCAGGTGCTTCCTATAAAGGGAAAAGAAAATAAGAGTTAATTTAACACTAAGTTTACAGGTGTCATTGCCTGGGGATAATACATGTTTATGACACATTAGGCTCTGCATAATTTTGGAGACATTTCTTTTGAGACACAACCTGTCTCTCATGACAAAGAGCTTGTTTCTTACTCATTTGACAAAAACCCTAAACATTTTTTTTCAGGGTTATCTAGACTAACACTTTTGTTTTTGCTCCCATTTTTTAGGCCTGTTGGATATACTGCCAAGTTCTCTGAAACGCCTTTAAAGACGGCTTATGGTAGAGAGATGAACATTCCTTTCATGGGCAACAGCTCTGGTAGACATTCCTGCAGTCAGCATGCCAATTGCACGCTCCCTCAAAGGTTGCAACATCTGTGGCATTGTGCTGTTTGATCAAACTGCACATTTTAGGGTGGCCTTTTATTGTGGGCAGTCTAAGGCACACCTGTACATTATTCATGCTGTCTAATCAGCCCCCTGATATGCCACACCTGTGAGGTGGGATGGTTTATCTTGGTAAAGGATAAGTGCTCACTAACACACATGTAGACAGATTTCAGAACAGTATTTGAAAGTCATGGGTGTTTTGTGAATGTGGACCAAGTTTCAGATGTTTGAGTTCAGCTCATGAATAATGGGAGCAAAAACAAAAGTGTTGCATTTATATTTGTCTTTGGTGTATATAGAAAACAGATGTTCCCAGCAATTAACAGTAGCCCATAGGCAGTCTAAAAACAAGCAAAATTGAGTGATTAACATAGAAACTTTTTAAATTTGTGGTAGCAATTTTATCTTTATCAATATTCACCTGATGATCATAATGATTCAGAAAGTTTCGCAGAGCCTCCGATATCTTGCCAGTGCATGTGGCCTTCTGTCTGTATAGAGCCATAAGTCGTGGTGTGTGTCTGTCAAGTTCAGCATAGAACTGTTTCTGCAGGTTGATGTTTGTGACTCGGTGGAACTCCGCACAAACCTAAAAATACAGGAACATGAAAACATCCAATATAAAGCAAAATTACTGGCCAAATTGAGAAATCTTATATTTAAAGAGGGATTTCCAAATTTGTGCCCAGTTTTATCTTAATGCTGTCATTTTAACATTTGTTTTTCAATTTGAACTTAACCTTTCCAACACAACTGTATCACAAATCTGAAATAAATTTTTTGGCATCATGAGCCTAATGAATGTAAGAAAACTTCTCTTTAATTCAAGAGAACATCAGTTCCTACATTATAGACTCAGCAAGTTTTATCTGTGGTTGCCTGTCTACTTAAAGCCGGGCGTACACTGTGCAACTTTTTCACTTTTTTGAGCTGATTTTCCACTCGTGCGACAATCCACAAGATCGGGGCGAGTTTTGCGCCGAGTGTCGTGTAGTATACAGGGGGTTACGAGAGGCAATTAACACCACATGACCAGCTATCGAGAGCTCGCACAAACTTCTGGCGTGTTTAATATTTTGCTCGTCCCTCGTGAGGGTATCGCACTTTTGAAGCGGCGCTGCGAGCAGCTGCGACGCAAAAAGTATCAGAACCGCTCACGGCGCATACGCAATCCTGCATCAACACCGCTCACCCGCTATTTCCCTAATAACACACTTTGTTCGTTTTAATTTCTACACGTTTTTTACTCACAAAGATTGTCAAGAAAGAGTGTTTGTCGTGTTCATGTCAAATTAAACTGATCACAAAACACAGATTTACTTTCTTTATTTCATTTTACTCATCCAGCCCCCATAAATCCCTGTGTGTCCTGCAGCACTCCCGAAGGACAACAGGCAAAACAAGACAAAAAAGTCTCACGTGTTGAGTAAAAACTGCTATTTTTAGCATATTTTAGGGCCGACGTGTTGCTACCAGGCGTGCAGTGTGAGCAGTCAGATCGCATCCAAGAACTGGGTCGTGCAGTGTGAGCACATGACTCATGAGATCTACCCTGCGAGGAAGTCGTACAGTTTGAGCTGAAGCTGAGTGCTACGAGTGAAAAAGTGGCACAGTGTACGCCCGGCTTAACTCATTCACTGTCATTGATGACTAAAGTCGTCATTTTAGATCCCACCGTTCACTGCAAATGAAGACTTAAGTCGCCATTTGAATGTTTTTACTGTGTGGGCATTGGAATGAGCCCCCGCATCGTGACTGAACCTCTCACCTCTAAAGCCGATCTTCATCCGCATATATCACACATGACGTGATCAGGAAGTAGAAAATCCATGTGTTAGATCGTTTTGGGTGGCTGCTGTAAAAAAAAAGTGAGGTGCGAACCGGAAAAGCTTCTGCCGATCACAATTCAACAACGGATTATGAAAGAACGGATAATGCTCGAAATGCGCAGATTCTTCATGATTTAAGGTGAGTCTCCACTTTGTTTTGGTTGTTTTGGCGTCAACATCCTAGCACACAACGTTCTGTGACTCTTAAAAAAAACTATAAAATTGGTGAGAAACATTGGCAGCGAAAGGGATTTACCGATCAGGAAACGGCTGGCAGCGAATGAGTTAATGTTGAAGCACCACAACTAATAGGGTGCTTAGTTGTAGCGCTTTAAGATATTTTTTCTACCTATTTGAACAATGTTTATAAGAAGTACTTTGTTTAACATGTTAAATAAATAAATCTGAATCTGAAGATCTGCTGAACTTGCATTGTTTCAAGTTAAATTGAATAAGAAAAAAAAAATCAGTGCAACACCAACCTGTGAGTGAAATCGCAGAGCTGGCCATTTCTCTAAGAAGTCCTTCACCATTGGGTTTTCTTGAACGATCTCATGGCGACGCAGTGCAAAGGTTGTTTGCATCAGTTTTTCAATCATTACTTTGTTGGGCTCGGTCTTCTCAACCTCATTTTTTATCTGGACTCTCAATTCCTCCAGACTGGCCTTATCTTCTCCTCTTGGAAAGTTTGGGAGGTAGTTTACCTCAGCTTTTCGTGCTCTTTTTATGTTGGAGTGGGGATACTCTCCTTCTGGGTTGTTGATACTCCTTCTACCAGCATTCACGGACACCTCCGCGCATCCGGCTCTGGCTAGCTTGGTGCGGTAACTTCCCATCTTAAATTTTAAACTGGTCTTCCAACCATAACTTCCAGGCTCATTAAGACATGGATGAGTGGTAACAAGAGCTTCTCTCGTAGGCTTTATTTCCCTTCTCAAGGACATGTTCGACTTCGTAAGAAAAGGTAGGTACTGGGAAAGTGTCAGGCCAACACTTCAGATGCTGAGCTAAAGGCACATGAGGAAGGATGTCTGTGTCAGAACTTGCACAAGAACTGGCATCACTTTCGGATCGCACTATTTTTAATGTGCTCTTCTCTAGTAGCTCTTGAATATCATGTAGACAGGTAAGTTGCCCATCAAAGTCAGGGTCTTCGTATTGTAAGGTAAACTCAAAGTCCAGCCTTGGGTTGAGCTTCTCCCGGAGTATGGTGATTAGTTCTTCCACTGACTCAGGCCGCTTAGTTAGAGAAACCTTCACAACAACATCTGTAGTGCTGTAAACTCTCAGCAGGAATTTCTGAGATGCTGCCATCATCCTGTGTATAAAGCAAGGAATGGAGATGATTAAAAAATACTACAATGGTCTCAACACATATAAAAACAATGAACATCATACCATTGACCTTTTTTTATGTGTCCTTTTATGGCAGAGTGGTACTCAGAATTGGCATCTGAGTACCAAGCAATAGCCCAAAAGATTTACTGTCACAAGTGGAGCAGTACCTCTTGTGGTAATGCATACACATAGCCTTTACAAGGTCTGATAATTGTATACTCAGCAATCATTACAGCTGTCAAAAATGGGGGGTCAAATATACTATAGTCTTGTTTTCCAATTTTAATTTAAAAAGTACACTGTAAATTTCATAACAAAATAAACTTACTATTTATGCTGGTTACTTTGGGTGCATTCTAGCATTTTATGGCCAATCTTTCAACAGTCCAGAACAAAGGTAAGTATTTTACATGTTACATAGTCACAGGCCATCATTTCATTTAGTCACGGTAAAAACTAACCCTATTTCAACATCATAATCTACATTTTCTCACCAGGCATACAAACAATACATAAGAATTTACACAGCAATTATTTTACAAAACAGAGACAAACTGCTGGAGAAATATTTGGAAAAACACATCATGTGATATTAAATCAGTGAGATACATCTAAAAGGAAACAGAACTTCTAGTAGCAAACTACTTTTTACAGACTACTGTCTAATGTTGCTCTCTTAACACCCCCCCCCCCCCCCCCCCCCCCCCCCCCACGCACACACACATAGCATCTGCATTTTGAAACTTTGGGGTGGAACAAATCTTAAAATATATGTAAATCACATAATGCAAATTCACTTTCAGTGTAGAAGTATAAAACGTTTTGGTGTCAAAAGAAGTTTCCCTTCCACGTAGTATGCAGAAAGGGGTAAGCGGTCATTAAACTCTGACATGCAGTGGATAGCCATACAACTTGGGTAGAGTTCATATGACCTCATATGTTCAGTGTAGTTTGACCTGTGTTCTTTGCAAAGAAATGCAGCATCATTGTTAACAAGGAGGATTTTTTTGATCTCGCTAAACTGTGGCAGTCCCCCATCCTCCCCCACAGACACAAACATTCCAGGGCTGTAAGTTGTGCCATCAACAATGATCTTTGATGTGCTGTAAATAATTCTGCTGTCAGTTTTATCCTTTATGTATTCTTGTGCAACTTCAGGAAGATCTGAAACCATGACAGAAGTAACGTGTGTCGTCTGCTGATGCGGCTGAAAAAATGAAGGTGCACTGAGGTAGTAGGCCACCATGTGTTGGTGCCGTGTTGCTAATGTTTTTAACACATTCTTAAAGTTTTGTGTGTCATGTATTACCCTCTTGAAAAAGCGATGCTTACCCTCGAACCTCATTGTCCATAAGTGAACAAGTGGCCCAAAAGCACGTATAAGAGCTGGGTAGTGCTCTATATAATGATGTTTTGGAAGCAGTCTTAACTCAGGAAACATGTCCTGCAGCACTTTTCTGTGGTCATCTATCTTTGATTGCAAATACTGTATGGACTCTTCATCAAATCTTGGGCACAGCATAAGCTCAACAACCTCTTTCAAATCCATTAACACTGTCCAAGCAGCATCTTCCTCAGGGACTACATTACCGTTCATGAATGGCAGTACTCTCAGCAATGTGATATTCTCATGACCATTGCCACCAATGGTCCTCCTTGTAGAGAAGTTCTTTGAGATGGGCTTTGGTTTGTCAACTTTATCGGAGTGTTGGTAAGGAAAGGACAAGATTTTTCTATTCAACTGCTCCAGAGTAAAGTATTTCTGCCGGATCATCTCCTGAATACACATGGCCAACTCCACTGGTACAATTCCCTCAAAAAGGTCATGGAGGACATCAGGAGGGAAGCCTGTGGTTGTATGAAAATACTGCAAACTTTCAGTCAGGATGCAGTTCCGTTGCACACCTGCCTGACTATGACCATCCCCATGTAGAACTTCCTGCACATTTTGGTCATAACTGGCTTTTGTTCTGAGGCTAAACTTGCCATCTCCAACATCATGAGACTGAATTAGGTCTCGTGTTGCATTGCAAAACCTACAAATAAATCCAGTTCTGAAACACTGACTAAACCCAGCCAATGAGTGGGCTGCCAGGTTGTCAGCTACAACGCACATGATAGTCCCTTTAACAGATTTACCGAGGCACTCAGTAAATACACCATCTTGCTCAAGAGTTTTTAGATCTTGTAGCAAAGGACCAAATGCTTTTTCATAGCCACACCTGTGGAGATCAGGTACCTTACATAATGCTGCTAGCTGAATGACATGCAGACCTGAACGATATTTACTTGGCAAATCAGCAAACATCCAGCATACTGCACACAGTTTGTGTATTTTCCTTGAAGTGCCCAATGGATTGGCAATTTCAAGGTCATCAATGTACAGTATCAGTGGCAGTGAAAGCTCTGATGAAGAAAACAACTCATTTCCTTGGAAATATGACCCATCTCTGTGGCTTGTGTAAAGACCCTCATAAGAGATATGTGTTTCCATAATTCTGTTAAGAATGTCTGTATGTTGGAACATTTTTTGGATCATCTCAAATATAGGGACATGAATTGCTGTACAACCAGGCTCCAATACATACTGAACAGGCATTACCACAGGGTAGTTCTTTTCAATAAACGTTTTTCTATGTTTATTTGAACAAAAGTCCTCCCCTTTAGCTGTGGCACAAGCAAAAATATTTGCATTATTTACAGCATTCAGCAAATCATTAAGGATAGCCTTGGAAGGAGTAACCTGATGCCTTTGTAATACATCATGCAGAGTCTTTGTAATGAGAGGCTTTGACAATGAAATGATTTGTGCCAGAGTATCAACTATTTCCTGAGATGCCATTTGAGAAACATGAAGAATACTTTCCATCTTCAGGAACAATGAAGACAAGTTCTTGTGTAACTGCTCTCTTAACTGCCTGGTATCACAAACACTGTCTACCTCAGGAAAAGCCAAGTCATCCAAATGCTCATCATTAACATCCTCAATGGCAAAGTCACTAGTGCTTTCCACTGGCCTGCTGTTTTCGTTTGACACAAGGACATCACAAATATGGGGTGCCATTTGTAAAGTCAAACAGTCATAATCTAACAGCAATATTTTTGGTTATTTAGCATATCATTAATTCACTAACTAAATATTTAATTTACTAATTAAATATTTATTTTGGAACTAAATATTTAATTTGTAAATTAAATATTTATTTTCCGAAATAAATATTTAGATCCCAGCTAAATATTTATTTTGGAGCTAAACATTTAGTTTGCAAAATCAGTATTTGGGAAATAAATATTTAAGTCTGACCCAAAAATATAAACTATAGTGTGGAGCTAAATAACATCATGGAAAATAAATATTTAGCTGGGATCTAAATATTTCTTTGGAAAATATTTAATTTACAAATTAAATATTTAATTTAAATTTTAAATATTTATTTCCAAAATAAATATTTAATTAGTAAATTAAATATTTAGTTAGTGAATTAAATATTTATTTTACAAACTAAGTATTTAGATCAGACCTAAATATTTAGTTTGCAACATAAATATTTAACTATAAATTAAATATTTAGCGTGCTAACTAAATATTTATTTGGAAACTTTAACATTTATAAATGTATGAATAACATGGTGAAAATATGACTTTGAAAAAGTGAACTCTCAATTTTTTCTCTTATGATATGCTAAATAACCAAAAATATTGCTGTTAGATTATGACTGTTTGACTTTACAAATGGCACCCCATAGAAAAACACTATAGTTTGAAATGAAGTAAGAATGTAAAAACAAAAATAACATTTCTTCCCGCTTTGCTGATTTATTGAATCCTTTTTGTGGGTTTTTTTGCTCATGAAAGTTAAGTTATGCTTCACTAGTGACTAACTGCAGTAAATGATGCTTTGCTGCAATTATTGTTAACAATATTAAAGTTAGACGTAATTACCACTTTTATCTGAAGAAGCGCGTCTTTATCCCCGCTCCAGCTGCTGAGATCAAAGTTGACAGAAACGGGGATCCGTGCCTGCAACCCGAGCAATTAATCAGTATGGCAAGCCAAATGAGCATTTATTCTGATATCAGGATATCAGCCAGAATTGTCATGAACATGTAAGCCATTTCTGTCCACTAGTTAACTAGTTAGCCATGTTTGTGTCAACTAGTTAAATAGTGACAGCCTAAATGTCAACTAGTTAACTAGTAAGGCCTAAATTCTCTCTAGTTAACTAGTTAAAATGTTTCATATCTTACTAGTTAACTAGTATTGCTCAGTGTGTTCACTAGTTAACTAGTGGACAGATCAATGTCCACTAGTTAACTAGTTAAAACACATTTACTTTTTACTAGTCAACTAGTAAGGTACAAAAACTCGTACTAGCTGACTACTGAATGTAAAAATCCCACTTGTTAACTTTGCCCAATTTGGCCAGCCGCTTGAGCATTAATTCTGATATCTTGTCAACAGGTCAACTAGTTAACTAGTGAGGGTCAAACTGTACACGCTAGTTAACTAGTG